GTCCAGAACAAAAGAAACAAACTCAAGAAAATAAATGTTTCTTTTGCAATAAGACTGGACACGTAAAGAAGCAATGTGCTAAATATCATGCTTGGCGTGAAAAGAAAGGGTTGCCTAAACTACCGGAAGTCAACTAATTCTGAAAGATGAATATACGTTGAAAATGGCAAATTGGTGGAGATGGAGACTATTGAACATTTTAGATTATTATTATGTACTGGTTTTTTATTTTAGATTTAAAAGACATTTTTTGTCGTGCCGTCTTTTAGACGGAATTTGGTTTTAGTTTCTTATTTGGACAAATTAGGTTATTTGTGTTCATTTGGAAACAATAAGTTCAGTTTGTCTTTTAATTCAGATATTGTTATAACTGGTTCATTTTTTGGCTAATGATAATCTATATTTACTTGATACTGTGGTCACCTATAATGCAACTCTTAATACAGAATCTCGTGGTATTAAACTAAAATTGGACTCCGAACGATAAGTAGTTACTTCATTGGTTATTCCGAGAGAGCCAGGGGATATAAATTTTATGATCCCACATTAAAGACATTTTTGAGATGGGAAGCTGTTATGTTCTTTGAGGATATTGAGTTTGGGGGGAAGAATAAGATTAAGAATTTTGTATTGGAGGAAGAATCGACAATAAATTCAGAACCGAGTCAAACAATTACTTTTGATAAAGTAAGTTCGGAACCTCCACAAGACATTGATGACAAACCCCATATTCAAGATGATTTGATTGTTCGTCAAGACCAAACTCAAGATCCTCAAGAACCTGTGCGTCATGAGCCGGGGATACTCCAGTTACTAAGGGAGACAAGTTTAGTCTAAATTAGTGCCCAAAGAGGAATTTGGAAATTGAGGAAATGCAACAGATTCCCCATGCATTAGCTATCGGGAGTTTGATGTATTCCCAAATATGTACGCGTCCAGACATAACATACATAGTTGGGGTTCTAGGCAGATATTTAAGCAATTCAGAAATAGACCATTGGAAAGCAGCAAAAAGGGTCATAAGATATTTAAAGAGAACAAAAGATTATATGCTCACATACAGGAGGTCAAACCAGTTGGAGATCGCTGGATTTTCTGACTCATATTTTGCAGGATGTCAAGAATTTGTAGCATGCTATGAGGCATCAAATCATGGAATATTGCTGAGAAATTTTGTCACAGGGCTGCAAATTGTGAAAGGCATTGAAAGACCACTTAAGTTATATTGTGACAATAAATCAGCTGTATTATTAAGGAAAGAATACAAAGTGGACAGATTTCCATAGAACACTTAAGGACAAACTCCATGATAGCATATCCTCTAACTAAAGGACTTCCGCCCAAGATCTTTCATGAGCATGTTGCTCACATGGGTGTTTTACAGTTTGAGGAATTTGTGGTTTAGTGGGAGTTAGTCATTTTCATATATTTTATGTTCTATGTTTAATTTTATATATGTATACATTATTTTTTTGGACATATTTGGTTATCTATAGATATGCGGTTTTCTTGTTCATTCATTACACTTTGTACATTAAGGTTATTGTATCGATCTCGATAAGTTAAAGTTTGGACCAGTTGAAAATAGACGTGTACAGATCACCTTCACGTAATTTTTCATGCTACACATTTCATGATGAATCCATGTCATTTGGTTATGTCAGGATGAGTAATCTTGTTGGTTTTAGTTGCGATGATGCAATGAAAAGCTGATTTGGTTCTATATCCTGATATGATTAATGGACATGACTTTTGGAATATGCTAAAGGAATATAATGACAATTTTGAGCTCATAAAGTCTAACACATTTGTAAGGTTGTAAAGACATATATATTTGTGACCAGTGGGAGATTATTGGCAAATTTTGGGTCATGTATATATATGATACATATTTAAATGTGTTAGGGTCATTATTTATTAAGCCAAATAATAAAGTGATCTGAATAAATTAATGTTTTGGCTAAAGACATATGTCATGAAAATATGATTGTGTAGAGACCATAGAGTAATTTCTAATTTGATGAGGGGCCAAATTGAAAATACTAAAACTTAAGTAATTAACCTAATTTTGGTTATATAAAGGGTCATGGTCCCCTTCTGAGAGCACATAGACAGAATATAGTTACAGTCCCATTCTTTTCTTTCTATCCCCATCAAGAGAGAAAATCAAAGGGAAATACAGGTGCTCTTCAGGTGGAAGACCATAAGATCAAATCAAAAGTGCTCTACAAAGGATATCGTCATTATGGCCAATTCAGGTACGCTTTCGCATTTAGTTTATAACATGTTTATAGTATGAGATTGTAGATATATGTTTGATCATTAGAATGAAGATCATATTCAATTAATTATCAGTTTAACTAACAGTATGTCCTATTGAGATGAATGACAATACTAAGAAGGATCCTTATTAAAAAATGTATTTCTTAGCAAGGGTTATCACTAATTTACTTGTGGTTTAGAGATGTTTTTATTTTAGTGAGGAAATGTTTTCATGTGGAGGGAAATACATTTAAGAGAGTGTTAGAATTTAAGTATGAGTTAAAATAAGTAATTAAATGTTATGTTAAAAAATAAGACTATATTAAATAATGTATGTTTAAAAATTATAGGATAGTTTTTATGTCAATATTCTAACATTTTTATACCTCATACATCGCTCCTATTTTGGATATATAATACTAGCTGTGGAAAGATGCACAGAATAGAAATTCTATTTTGTTTATTATTATATTTAGTATGGTGCCGTGGAAGGATATAAAGCTAATAGGGTAAAAAGAACTACTCATTGTTTTGTTTACCTTTTTTTTATGTTTATTTTATTTTTAGTCTTGAAAATGGTTTAAATAACGTTTAGAATGAAAATAAAATTATTTAAATAAAAACTTTGGAACTAAAAACAAAACAAAATATTTAATATTGACGAAAAATTTAGAAATTTGTTTATTGAGGATGAAAACGAAATTCAAAGTTTTATTAGAGAAAAAAAAATATTGAAGCATTTATGTTATATTATGATTCTCTCTCTCTCTCTCTATATATATATATGCGCTTTAGACATTCTATCATTCATAGTGATATATGACTGCTCTCTCTTTTTTAATATTCCTCTCGCGATGATGAAAAGATGAAACAACATTTTTTTTTGTTGGAACTGAGGTTACTACATTTGGCAAGTGTATATTGAAGGATCCCAAAGCCATTAAAGGAGTTGTTCAATAACAACTTCATCAAAAGAGGTATTAGTTTATAATTTATTTTGTTTGTCCATTTCTTTTTTGTTTAAACTTTCTATTTAATGTCGCAATTATGCTTTTTGTACAAAACATGTTGGTTGCTATAAGAAAGGTGAAGAATAAGTCAGAAACACACTATTTTAAACCGATTACACAAATTCATATTTATGTCTTCCTACGACAGGGAATGATCAAAAGTAAATTACGTATTTGTTTAACTATTTAATATTTTTTTAAGTATTTATTTACATATGATAAGATACCAATCTCCATCTTTTATATTTACAATGAAAAATCACAATATATATTACGTATACTTTGAAATTATTTAATTTAAAGTTTATTATTTTTAATATTTACTAAAAATACATTTTAAGTTGTTTAACCCTTCTGACCCTATTTCTCGTCTTGGTCGTCGTCTGAAGATTTTTCATCATCGTTGTGCTTTTGTGTGTCCCTCACTAAATCATATCAGAACTTTTTCAAATATTCATCCGTCAATTTAAGTTGCACTAATAGTTCATAATTAATTTCATCATTTTAAAATTTTAAATGAATTAGTTAAGGAATAGGAGATTTGTCATGTGTATAATTTCTTAGAATCTCAAACCATAACTAATATAAATAAAACTTTTTATGATAATAATTTTAAATATTTTATGTTGGTTTTTCATCAAATATATATGTAAAATGTTAACTCTTAAATAATCGTCATAAAATATTGTGTTAGTTTATATATATAATCATATTTTTTAGAAACATTTTAATAAATGATTTTAGTACAATTCTCACTTATATTAGATGAAAAGTTATACATAAAATTCATAAAAGAAAAAAATTCACAATAAAAATTAAAACAACTCCATTAAAATAAACCACCAAATATAAATTAATGGAAAAAATAAGATGGTTTTTAAATATTAAATGTGAGAAAAAAAGGAAGATTGCGGGGATGATGATACAAACATGATGAAGATAAAAAAAAGAACAATATGATAAGGAGCCAATGAGACAAGAAAAAAAAAATAGATGAAACTCTGCAACACACAACAAAAAAATGTTAAAAAGTAAAAAAGACAAAGAATATAAATCAAATTTATGAATTTAAAATGGACACTTTTTATATAATAATTTTTCCCCTTAAAACTTCTCCCAACTAAGATCACTCACAATCAAATGGCGTGCACAAACCACATATGAATGGCGCGTGATAATACGGTACGGTAGGATATGTAGGATTCAATTTCATCACCGTACTTCTACAAAGTTCACACTATATTCAAACCATGAGTTTGAAGAATTTACAAGTTTTCTCTAAATAATAGTTTTAATTATTATCATAATAGGTATTAATATTAAAAAAATGAAATTATAATGAATCACAACTTTTATTTTGAAATCGTGTTAAAACACTATTCCTATATTAAGTTGATCTTATTAATCATAAATCATGACGTCTATATTGAAGTCATGTTTCAATTTTAAAGAAGAAAAAAAAGAAATGCTAGAATGACACTTTTGCATGCATAGAACAAAGAAAAATGAAAACAAAAAGTGTTATGCCACGTGTTTAAACAAAACAAACGTAGCTGCTTGATGAAGTTTTTCTAAAAAAATCTCGACTTGGAAATTACATCGCTATTAAAGGAGGCAGCTGAATGAACCCCAATGTTTGGCAAGTTAGTTGGGGAGATAAGTGACATGTACAACAATGTCTTTTATAAATTGAATCTTTGATCACCTCCGAACATAACTAGATCAGCCATGGAGATCTTCTGGTTTATCATCCTTCTTTCTCTTTGGGTTTGGATGCTTTTCATCAAATCCCTCATTTCTGTTCCCCTCCCTCCGGGACCTCTCCATATTCCCATCGTCACCAACATAACCAACATCCTTTGGCTTCGAAGATCACTCTCAGAGCTTGAACAGATTCTCCGGAATCTCCATGCCAAACACGGCCCTATATTCACACTCCACTTCTGGTTTGATCCCAACATTTTCATAGTAGATAGCTCTCTCGCCCACCAAGCCTTAGTTCAAAACGGTGACGTCTTCGCTAACCGCCCCACAACCCTTTCCTACAAAAACGCCACTGCTGACCAACTTAACATTAGCTCCTCCTCATACGGCCACACATGGCGCCTTCTACGCCGCAACCTCGCCTCCGTGATGCTTCACCCTTCCCGCTCCAACTCCTTTTCCGGCACGCGCAAGCGTGTCTTGCACGACCTTCTGAACCGGTTGAAAACCGACGCTGAAAAGCACCACTCTTTCGTTAAGTTGAGGGAACACGTTCAACATGCCTTGTTCAGCTTGCTAGTTTTCATGTGTTTTGGTGAAGCAGTTGTGGAGGACAAAATCCGAGACATCAAACACGTACAACGTAGTTTAATATTGGGCCTTAACAGATTCGGCGTACTACATTTCCTGCCCAAAGTTTTCACTCGCATGTTGTTCCGGAAACGCTGGCAGGAGTTGTTGGATATTCGTAATGCCCAAAAGAACGCCTTTACCCAGTTGATAAGAGCAAGAAAAAGTGTTCGTGATGGAGGTGTAATTTGTTACGTGGATACATTGTTGGAGCTGCGATTACACGAGGAGGAGAATCGTGAGCTTGATGAAGGTGAAGTCGTAGCGTTGTGTTCGGAGTTTCTAACTGCAGGTACGGACACAACTTCAACCGCTTTGGAGTGGGTTATGGCGAATTTGGTGAAGCATGCACACGTGCAGCAGAAGGTTGTGGAGGAAATAGGAGAGGTGATTGGAGATAGAGAAGAGAAGGAAGTGAAAGATGAAGACTTGAAGAAGTTGGTGTATGTGAAAGCTGTGGTTTTGGAAGGCTTAAGGCTTCACCCTCCTACTCATTTTTTGTTGCCACATGCAGTGACAGAGGATGTGCTGTTGAACGGGTACATGGTGCCTAAAAATGCGAGTGTGAACTTCATGGTGGCGGAGATGGGTTGGAATCCAAGGATGTGGGAGGATCCAATGACGTTCAAGCCTGAGAGGTTTCTTAGCAGTGAATTTGAGGGATTTGATATTGTTGGAAGGAAAGAGATAAAGATGATGCCTTTTGGAGTTGGAAGAAGGGTCTGCCCTGCCTATCACTTGGCCATGCACCATTTGGAGTACTTTGTGGCTAACTTGGTTTGGAGTTTTGAATGGAAGGCTTTGCATGGAGACACGGTTGATTTGTCAAGGAAACAAGAATTTACCATGGTGATGAAACACCCTTTACAAGCTCAAATTTATTCCAGGTTCTAGCTACCTAATTTTAGTGGGTTTTTATATACACTACATTTATTTTTACGTATATATTGATCCAAAATAGGATTCAAAGTCAACGTTATTATATCTAAAAAAAAAATATACATCAACATCTCACATATTAGATGACTTTTAACTGAGACTTAATCAGAAATGTTATATAGATATGATTTGGCAGGATAAATGAAAGAGACAGAGAGAATAAATTATAGATATTTTTAGACGCTTTAAAATAAATAATGTACCTATATCATCACTCATATCTATAATATTAAAATGTTTAGTTGCTTTATCTTTTTATTTGAGATATTTAGTTGCTAATAAAATAGATTGGAATTTTAAAAGAAATTAATAATATAAAAAATTTAATTATCATATAAAAATAAATATATTATATAAAATTAAGTATATTTTAAGTTATCATATATATATATATGTAATTTTCTTCTTAGTTCTTAGATATATCTAAAGTTTAACTTCAATTTTGTTTCCACATTTTAATGTTAAAATAAAATATTAAAATATTTAACTAATTTATAATAAGTAAAAAATATTATATCACTATTTTATATTTTTATTAAATTATATTATACATACTAATTTACTTAATAATTAATAAAGATAATAAATAAAATAATTTTATGGTTTGATTCAAAAGAATTATTGTTTAATATCTCTTTTATTTTATTTTTAATTTCTTATATGTATTCAACGTGAAAATGTCTTTAACTTAAATGAAAGAGAAAAAAATTAACAAATATAAAATTACAATTTTTATGTTTAAAGATTAAATTATAAAAAATTAAAAAAATATAAACTACAATTTTTATATTAAAGATGAAATTCTAAAAAATAAAAATTGAAAAATATGCAGATGAAAAATTATATATAAAAATAAAAATATATTTATTACAAGTGAAAGATAGAAAAAATATATATATTAAAATTTATTTCTATTTATATTTAAAATTAAATTTTATTTAATTTTAAAATGAATTCATATATATATATATAAAAAAAATTTGGGGTCAAGGGCACGATGCTTGAATCTGCCATGGTTTGAATTATATTAAAACAAAAATATCTAAATTGAAGTAAATCTTTTTTTTTAAGATAGATCAAATTTAGGATTGAGTTCATATTTAAAATAATAATAATAATTAATATAATAATTATTCTATAAAATGGAGTGTTAATTTTTATCTAAAACAAAAATATCTTTAAAAATGAAGATAAATATAAATTATTTTAAACTTCGATTGTATGAAATAATTTTATCTTTAAGATGAAAAGTTGAATACAAGAGGAGATGATGATATAAATTACTTTAAATTTTCGATTTTTAGATGACGTAAAGGTTGAATTATTGGTAAAAGTATCAAAATTATCAATCACAATATAATATTTCGATTAAATAAAAGTTGATCCCACGAGGAACAGTTTCAATGGAAATTCTTAATTATGTTTACTAAGTGTATTAAAACATATTGGATTTTGCAATAAGAGTTGAATTGAAATTAAATGACAAAGAACTGTAAATTGTTGAGAAAATATCAATTAAAGGCATTTAGGATTGATTTCCTTCCTTATCCCTATTTTGTAATGACTATGTCAATTAAGAACATTAATTAACCTAACAATGTTGATGTCACCTACTTAAATCATCCATGTTGATTCCTCACACATGAAATTCATAAGAAAATCTAATAAATGTTGATTTCTCACACAATTAAGAGATTTTCTAGCATTAGGTTTATGATGTTAAGCAATCAATACATTCATTCCATTCCTAGCAATTAACATAATAAATATTCTTACTGTGATCTAGGGTTCAAGATATTTTTTCCAATCATATCCCAAACATCAAGAATAAATCATTGCAAAGCACAAATAATAAGAATAACAACATCAAAACATAGATTAATATCTCAAAATATCACCATGATACAAAAGAGTTCAAAGGAAGTGCACCCAATCCAAAGATAATGAAGTTAGTCACTCATGTTGACCATTATAATGCTTCAAACGTGGAAGAAGTGAAGAATTGATGAATATTCACTACTACAAAATATGTTTTCACGTTGAAAGTTGAATGTTGGACACATTCTACGTCGGTTCTTAGTCAACCGACGTAGAAAGCACTTTCCATGTCGGTTCTAGATGAATTGTCATCGACGGATTCAAACCCGAGTATGTTAGAGTTGAAAGTCGATACTCCAACCACTAAACTACTGTAATTTTTTTATAATAATTTACAAATTAATTATATTTATATTCAAATAAATATATATCCGTGTAAATATATATTTATTTATATATATTTTCTGGAAAGTGTTTTTATTTTTTTTCAACCAAAAATTTACTTAAGTTAGAGAATTGTCACTAACAGGATTTGAACTCAATATTTTATAGTTGAAAGTTGATACTCCAACCACTAAACTACTGTAATTTTTTGATAATAACTTACAAATAAATATATATCCGTGTAAATATATATTTATTTATATATATTTTCTGGAAAGTGTTTTTATTTTTTTTAGTCAAAAATTCACTTAAGTTAGAGAATTGTCACTGGCAAGATTCAAATCCAGTATTTTAGAGTTGAAAATTGATACTCCAACCACTAAACTACTATAATTTTTTTATAATAATTTACAAATAAATTATATTTATATACAAATAAATATATATCCATGTAAATATATAAATACAAATATATTTATATATTTTGATATATTTATATCTATTTATATATTTATATGTTGGATGTGAGGGCGCGTTCGAGGGTGAAAGTGAGATTGACTCTCGCTTGAGTGAAAATACGTTAAAACTCACAAAAATTCACTTGCTCAAGCCTCGCTTGAGCGAAAATTAGTAATTTTCGTTTGAGCGAATGATGCGTTTCCCAAATTTATTTTATATCATTATATAAATAAATTATAAATATTATATTCTGTCATTAAATTACAAACCCATATAAAGAGACCCGCTCACAAATTTGACATCAAATTTTGAAAACCCACTCGACACACACTTTCACATCCTTCGAGCGTGCCCTCACATCCAAGCATATAAATATATAATTATATAAATATATCAAAATATATAAATATATTTGTATTTATATATTTATATATTTACACGGATATATATTTATTTGTATATAAATATAATTTATTTGTAAGTTACTATCAAAAAATTCGAGTAGTTTAGTGGTTGGAGTATCAGCCTCCAATACTAAGGTACTGGGTTCGAATCCTGTCAGTGACAAAAATATAATATAAAAGAGAGGGGGGATTTCTAGATAAATAGAGAGTGGTTGAAAATAAATAAAAATTAGACTTTCCACGTCGGTTAAATAGAACCGACGTGGAAAGCCTTATTTGTAGTAGTGATTGGACGAAACCCTAGCAGTAGTCGCGCCTCTTCTCCTCAAAACCGCTTGCTTTTCTCAACACTCGCTTGAGCGAGTGAATTCCAGAGAAGAATAACTAATATTTACTCAAACGAATCTTCTTACGCTTGAGTGACTAACTTCTAGAGAAAGAGAAAAATAACTGATATTCGCTCAAACGAGAGTCCATCCCGCTCGAGCGACTTCCATGCTGAAAATCTTCTTCCTTCTTCCAATTTTACTCCAATTATGTTGATAATTATGCTCCTTACTCTTGTATCAAGGTATTCTCGAATTCATCCTATATTGGGAGAAAAATAGATTAAAATTAACATAAGTTAAGTGGTTTCATAACAATTCAAGGCATAATTAAATCAACTTTTTACCACTTAACAACTCCTCCCAACCTAGAATCTTGCTTGTCCCAAGCAAAGTAATTTTTCCAAAACAAAACCATCACCTATTATCTCTTTCTCTTCCAGAACCACAACATAAAAAATTTTCAAAGGTGATGCTCACAACTCCAAATGAAAATAGAATACATAAGCATTCAAGTTACAGAAACTAACAAAGAATAATTAGTCCTCAACTATCCTCAGAGAAGCATGATCAAATAGAGTTATATATAATCATCTCTAATTCTCACAGGTAAGTGTTTATCTCATTCAATCACTTCATTTAGACAATCCAATATTGATAATCAACTTCGAGCAATCAACATTTGTTAAGCAAGACTTAAATCAAAAGGTCTTTTGAGACTTATAATGGGGCTAGGCTAAGAAAGAATCATTGGTTTTTCTAGGATATACAAAAGTATTTGAGAAATTCAACTCATATCAATGATTTTTTATTAACAATTCCTCAAGTCAGGTTTCAAACTTCATGCTTTTGTCCCTAACAATAATGATAGCGAGTAATAATCTCACACGTTATTATTCCCCCCTTTTGACTTCTCTTTTTTTTTCATGTTTTTGCATGTATCATTTTTGGCTTTGCCATAATTTTTAAGCTTTGCTTTCCTTTTCCTTTACACCTTTTTTTTTAAGAACACCCCAATAATACCCGTAGGACAACAATAGCAATACCCAACAATAGGAAAACTAGTGACATTCATACTCATTTCATTTCTCAAATATAAGAAGGTAGACAAATAGTTTTTAGGCTCAGGGGTTCTATTTAAAAAATAATATTATTTTTGGTTCAGAAGGGGTTCAAATGGATGTCCTATAATTAATGCAGGGTTGACTATTTGGCTTTGGGTTATATCTTCTATAAAGAAAAAAAATGTCTTTATCATTTTCAAGTCTCATCAACATGAAATCACATCAAAGAATCAACCAATATCAGTTATCATCATAAAATGTTGACACTCAATTTGAATTGTTTGTGGTACTCTACTCACCTGGGTTTTTGCTAGCTTCTCCAATTCAGTTAATTCCTAATGCTCCTCATCAATTCCTTTTCACTATCATACTCATCATCCCAAAATCACTTGTTATTGGAAACAATCAAAATGGTTTTCTTCAGTTCCAGATTTGGATTGGACAATAAGCAATAATCTCATATATGACTCTAAAACAAATTGTATGGGACAACAATCTAA